TAAAGTTTTGCGTCCGCTCCTGACCACACGAGCACATGGTACTACGCAGACAGAACTCACCATATTTGGGAGCCTCTTCCTTGTCCATTCTAAGTCTTGGAGCAAACATTTCTATTTAACTAAGATAGCATTTTTTATGGTAGGAAAATAATCAAGATTACCATAAGCTAGAGTGATTACAAACCCACAACATGTCACATCAAAAAATTAAAAAAAAAATTGTGGATGGATCGAACATCTCGAACTTACCTAAAGACGTAATCTAAAGTATAGCACCGTGCAATACCCCTATAATTTTTCACTGTCGGGAGGGAGAATTTTGGGTTTTCTAATAAAAGGACATTTTTTCTACCAAATTCTTCCATAATCGAGCACGACCTTTTGTGCTTCATTTATCAAGTGGGCTACACATGATTAGTTAATGGACCGACGAAATTGGATGGCAAGAGTGAATTGCTCAACATTTGATTGATCTTACCGTCCAAATGTTAAAAAAGAAACAATGGATATGATTTGTGGTGAAGGTAAACAATAGAAATATTTTGCATCAATTAGCCTTTTTTGTTTCTTTTCTTTTGTTAGATGTAGTATGATTTTTTTTTATTTGTATAATATTTTAATTTAAAATAATGGAATGATCCTTTTGTTCTTTTTAATTTTTAAATTTTCTGATTAACTAGATTGACTAACAAAGTGTCGTGAAAATTTCAATCAAGCTACATGTACATTTTTGTTAACATTAAGTTTGACATTGTTATGAGGTGACAGTTTTTTACACGTTGATTGTAAAAAACACCTTAAACAATGACAAGTTTTGGCAAATATATAGTGTCAATTTAATGTACAACTAGCTTAATCTTGAAAGCCTCCACCTAACATGTAAGCAAGTTTGTGGGACCTCGTACCCTTTTTATGCGAACACGTCTACGCGTTAGTGGTCATGAAAAGATAATATAGATAAGACCAATCTCAGGCAAATTTTCTCTCTCTTTGCCCAGTTTTTCTAACTTTCTAGCTACCAGTATGCATTTTTTCTCACTTTTATTTGAAGAATTTCTAATTTTACACCAATTCCGTATTTAGTCAAATGATGCGTGCTTTTGATTCTTGAATTCAAGGCTATCTCATAGTTAAAAATTTTGAATCATAACAAATTGAAGTAATAAGAAATGGCAGCCATAGCCACATTCTGCAGTACAAATCATGGTTCTGGCATCAAGAAACTGAACGTTTACCTCCTGAACAAGCACAGTACTACGAGGCAAGTGTTATTTATCTATATCCCCTGCTGAATTTTGTGAAATTAAGTGTAAAAGAATATGATATAATTGGGTCGGTATTAGAATTTAGAGGATAGGCTTTATAGAATTTGATGTAATAGAGGTGGAATTGGAGAACAAGAAATATTGGTTTTGTTGGAAATTTAGTTTAGTTCTAGGTGTTTGTTGAACTCTAAGATGGAAAATTGTAAATTGTAAAATTTAGTTCCTTAATATCACTTTTGATAGGGAATATTTGATACCACTGACTGTAGTACTGAGGAGGAAAAATAAGCTAAATCTTGATTATTATATGTCGATATATACGCGAAATGGTTCTTCAAGACAGTAAACGCTGAGGTGAAATTATAGTTTCTACAGAATGACAATGGTTTCTGGGGTGGGGATAAGGGACCTATAATCCTAAAAGATTGGCTTTTTCCACTTTGAAAAGTAGATATTGTGAAGAGACTGATGCTCTTCAATTTCAGGACTCATCCAGTATTCTCCATTCCAGATTCAAGGCAAAGATTATTATGCTATAGCGGTAGCAACAAAAATACACACACTAGACGGCTAAAATATAAGCCAAATCACCTGCATCTTGGAAATTTACTCAAGTGTAGAGCTGTGAATGATGATGCAGCAACTGACGAGGAGAAGAAAGAAGATATTTCCCAGGCTACTTTGTTATGGAGAGCTGTCAAATTGCCAATATACTCCGTTGCCTTGGTTCCTCTAACCGTAAGTGCATTGTTTCGTGATATGTACATGCTTCTGCAGTTACCAAGTTTATATGTTTTTATCCATAACCACTTATCTTTGATATAGATGAGGAGATAAATGGTGAATTATCTCAATGCATGCCTCGTGTCAATTTGGACATGCTTGGCACAATTGGATCACTCTCTCAAACCTATTCCTGTGTGACTGCATTCATTTAATCAAATTACAATTAAATCATGGAAGATTTGTTGGGAGTCTGGCTAGTACCAGGCAGAAGAACAGATTGGGATGTCATGAAAAATAAATTTGAGAAAAATTTAGAGAGGAAATTGAGATTTTAAAGATGATAACGATACATGATTGTGGAGTATTGAACCGCCATCCTCAAAGTCGATCACTCCAAAGAAGTATCTTGGCGTAAAAGGTTGTTGCAAGCCTGGCCCTCGAGTATGACTTATTAGATGTGTAGAACAGGTTAGAAGCAAGCTGACACAGGACCAGTCTCCCACTGATTCCACCACAATGAATGTTTGTCTCATCATTCAAAACATGCATGAAACAAAGTTGCTGCCTAACCTCCTGATGGCTCATAATAAATGCAGGTGATAAATTCAAATGGGGGACCAACTAGGGGATCCTCTAAGGATGCCTAGTGAACCCTTACCTCAGACCAAGCCAAGACACAATTGCCTGACCGAACACTTCTATCCAGACCTCGTCTATTAGAATTATGTAACTGAGTAAACACATTAAACACCTTTTTACTTGGTAAGTTAATTCCAAAGGAAATACGATAAATGGGGATTAGTGAGACTTCAATAAACTACTATATTTCTACTAAACATAACATGCTTCACCTAAAGGAGACACCCTCTCCACATAGTTGTCACTATTCTACAAATAATGGTGCCTAACTCACAGCCACGATACTTTCTAGCATACAATCTTCTGAAGTAATCCTTAGCACACAATAGCCACTATAGAAATTTAGTGCTCACTTCTGTGTTAAGAGTGTAACAAGTGAGGCACCACATCAGAGTCAAGTATATCTCGGCAAAAAGCAGCCACGTCATCATTACAATATTTATTCTTCTTTTTCAAAAGTGGTTAGGATTTATTTTAATTATCTTTTCTTGTATTTGATTTAATTTCTTCCAATAGTTACTAGATTTACATTAAAATATTGTTGTATTTGTTATTTTGGTAATTTTCCTATTTTACTAGGTGTTTTTTAGTATAAATAGGAGCATATGTTTCAAGTTGTGTAAACAATTATTTTGAATTATCCCTACATTTTTTCTCACCTCTTTCTTTTTCCAGTTTTGCATCTGGCATACTTTCGGATGAGCCTAAGTGGAGCAAAATTTAGGGGGAAGATATACTTTATTTTTAGAAGGATATTTAATATTTTCAAGCAATATAAAATTTGTAAGACCTGGTCTCATGATCCACTTACTGTTTTCTTATTCTGTTCATAATCTTGAAGGAGAAAATCTAGACAATTATATAAATAAGCCCCCGTTTGGCCCGCCATTATTTGTAATTTTAATGGTTGGAATAATTTTATTTTTTTTTCCGAAAAATGTATGGTTAAAAAAGAAGAAAAAATTTTTGGATTATGTGTAATATTATTTTATTGAAAAATGTGTGATCGATAAGAAGAGAGAGAAAAATGAATTATAATTTTAATGGGGACCAAACGGTGGCTAATAGTGGTCCTACTAATTATATGGTTTTTATCAGCTAAAGAATTAGGCAATAGATGTTACGAAATCAATCTACTACAACCCTCTCCTTTAATGGAGAAGACTATTGAGGGATAAAACAAATCATAAATAAAAAAGCTTTGCGGAATACGATTGAAATCAAAATGTTTTAGATAAAGTAGAACAAAAATGTATAAATAGAATGTCCTTTCAGTCATGGTTGGAATGGCAATGATACTAGTCACTGTTTAGGACATATATAGTAATATTCTCACCAGAATACAAATAGACAACTAATTCCGGTTTTTGTTTCGTTCATCTTTGGAATCAAACTTTCAGTGCCTCGTGTATGTCTTTCTATTATGGCAAACGATAGATAATATTTTTGTTTGCAAAATTTGTTTCTGCGTGTAGGTAGGAAGTGCAGCTGCCTATTTGCAGACTGGCCTACATTGTGCCAGGCGATATTTTATGCTGTTGGCTTCTTCAGTTTTAATCATCACTTGGCTCAACTTAAGGTGAGAAACTTACAGTTACCTCACTTTATGTATGAAACTAACTTTGGGTTATAATGGTATTCGGAAAAAGGAGCATTCTGTATGGAATATAAATCTATTTAATTCTCTAAAATGTGAAGAAGCAAAAGGTATTCTTCCATTGAAATGTGCATCTGATGACTGGCTGTGATTTACGTCCATCTAAGAAGTTGGCGTTTTGAATTGGACGAAGGAGGTTAAGTTTTGTATGAATGGAGCTGCACTCATTTTGCTTCGGTAGTTTCTTGTGGCTCACTAACCATTTTCATCTTTTCTTTCAAAATCTTTATGTTGCTTTTTGTTCCTTTTTATCTGGAGAAATATATGGCTCTCTTTAGCATGTCGTGTATATAGAAGAAAAAATGATATTTTTACTATTGAATGCTATTCTGCATTATATAGTATGAAAGTGATCTTTTGGTGTTGCTGAGTGGATGTTATGCTGTTTACTTACATGTTTAATATGGGCAGCAACGACGTTTATGATTTTGATACAGGGGCAGATAAAAACAAGAAGGAATCAGTTGTAAATATCGTTGGCAGGTGATGATTATTCCATATCAAACTGTTACTCTTTTCAGTCAATTTTGTTTTCAGCTCCATGCTGCCCTCCTTGTTGTTTTGGACTATGTTTCTCAGACTTGGGTACAGACTAGGTGTTGGATCGTTTTTCTTCTAAAACTAAGGATATAGGATACTACTAAAAAGGATCCAAATTTGGACATGGATAAGTGAGTACATCAAACAAACATAATTTTTTTAGAATATTACATACTAATAATTTTAGATGTATTTTTTACGAAGTGTAGCATTAAATGAGCTTGGTTTCATGCCTTAATGTTGGTCTTATGCCTCAAAATCAGTTTTATTCCTTTAAAAGTCGTGGATCCACTCTTTATCTCCCACCAACTTCTGCTTCCTCCATGGCGATCTCGTTTCAATGTTTATGCCCTGTCCACTTCTAAATGGAAGGATTCGACACGGGATCCATTCCCATATCCATGTCATATAGTGTCGACATGGGTACACCCTCTAAACTAAAGAGTCCCACTCGGTCAACATTTCTTGTAAGAAAAGACAAACAAGAAGTTGATTTGCACATCATCTGTGATCACTTGAAAAATTAGCAGACGCACTGACCAAAAAACTAATTGAAATCAATTTTAGGAAATATATGGCAGCCGGGAATGATAGATACTTAGAAACAAGTTATGGGATGGAGCATCGAGAATCTAAAGTCAAACCAGGTTGTACAACCTATATAAATCCTACTAGCCAGTATGCTAAATATTTTTGGATTAATAAGGATTATTCATTTCCATAATTGGACTATTTTGATTTCTGTTAGATGATCACTTTTTTTCCTATTGTTTCGCTCTAGATTTCCACATAAATAAATAGACAATAATCATGCATAAGTTCAGCAGCAATTATGTAGACTGAACTGTACAATCAATAGAATTTAAACCCTGACTAAGAAGAACGTGGATAAAGTCATCAAGGTTGAGGCATTTTCTGAGATTTAAAAGTGACATGCATAAGACTTGAGAGCAATCTAATAAGCTAGTGTATTCTCCACGTAGCTTGAAAAATAAACTATTCTCCAGAGATGCAAGTATTAACTATGCTATATTTCAATGTAATCATTGTCGTCTATGTAAACTACTATCGCTTAGAATCCCGTTAGTTTGCATAATGGCGGTGAATAATATGTTGTAAGATAAATGAATTTTCAAAAAATGTCCAGACAGCCATGCTAAGCCTGTTATTAATTTATGTATCTTCTTTAGCATATTGATCGCAGTTGGCTCAGTGCATCTTTTGTTGTTCTATAAAGTCGTACAGGGACACTTATTGTTGCTTGCTTACTACTTGTTCTTGGTTTCGTCGGCCTTATTTGGGTATCTGTGGAGGCTGGGAGTATGCGTTCCGTATTACTACTTGCTTCTGCAGTTATTTGCGGCTACATATACCAGGTACAACCAATCCAGTTGGTATCTAGAAAGTTGTAAATTTTCACACGTTGTTGTCCTTTTACTTTTCTTCAAGAAAATATATATTTTACTTATTATGTATATTGCATTTCAGAAAGTTATTGAATTAATATCAGCAGTTACTAAACATCAAATATCTATCTTGAATTTACAAGCTTATTAGCAAGTGAGATAGCCGCCTTCCTACCACAAATGCATTTTGAGTTTCAGATATTATTCTCCCAAGTATAGTTTTATGTCCGAGAACAAGACTTTTTCAGCATTCTTATTCATGCTACGTCCCAGAATAACAAGACCAAAGGCTCAGATATCATCTGCTCACTCTTGTTTAGGGAATAAGCCCACAAAAGTAGCAAAAGAACTCTTTTCAGGAAATGATCGGGAAATGATCGGTGTGAAATTGATGCAAGCCAGCCTTGACGTCTTGCCCTACTACATCCAAAATGAAGGAAAAGACCGGATTTATTTACCACAATCTTGTCCATTTGAACTCTTCTTTCTTTTTCTATTTTCGTTGTCTCCTTGCCTCCCTCTCCCCCTCCCTCCTTTTAAAGTCCTCAGAAAGAAAACAAAATTTCTAGGCTTATATTTCTTGCGTGTTAGTGCTATTTCATCTTCACTCCCATATACGAGTTTCATCATCCTTTCCTTATTCAAACATTTCAACATTATTTAAAGATCATTTCATCCACTTTGATGGGACCCTTTTGTTCTTCTTTTCTAATTTCAAATGTTTTGGTATTTTCTATAAACCTACTAAGGAGCTTTATGCACAATTTTGGCATTCTAATTGTTCCATCTGAGAATATATGTATCATCTTCACTTATGGCTCTAATAACTTATTTACACATTTTCTTAGTGCATCATTGCTCGTTGTGCTGGACATGTTTACCATGCATATATGATATACCAGATTTTCATGTTCTGTAAAAACTGTGTTGCAGTGTCCACCATTTCGTTTAAGTTACCAAGGACTTGGAGAACCTTTGTGCTTTTCAGCATTTGGCCCATTTGCCACTACTGCTTTTTATTTGCTTCAGAGTGGCGCAAGGTTGCATATGATTACTTGCAATTCTGATGATTAAACTCATGTCTACTATATACTAATAATTTCTTGTATTATGACAGTGAGCTGACAATTAATGGCACGGTCATCTCTGCATCTCTTCTTGTTGGTTTTACGACATCATTGATCCTCTTCTGTAGTCATTTTCATCAGGTTTTTTAACTCTCCCTCTCTCTCCATATTACATTTTTAGGGATCTATTTTTTTTTTTTTTTCTTTTGGCTGACAAGAAGTACGATCGACACAGATAGAGGAGGATAAGGCTGTCGGGAAGATTTCCCCTTTGGTGAGTACACACATGTTGAAAGTCTAAGCTTAAAAGATGAAGTTGTAGGAGCCATTTACGAATCCTTTTATGTTGAAATTTAGGTTAGGCTCGGTACTGAAGCAGGTTCGAAGGTAGTAAAATTGGCAGTGGTGACAATTTATTCACTTCTGTTTATTCTAGGACTTGGACAAACACTTCCTTCCTCAAGTGTTGTAAGTCTTTCCAACTTCTAGTCACAGCACTTTTTCTCAAGACATCTCGGCCATATTTTTTCTATTCCTACATTTTTCTTTGTACTCTTATTTATTTTAATCATGGTTCTTGTGTAGATTCTTTGTGCTTTGACAGTACCAATGGGAAATTCAGTAGTTAGCTACGTTGAGGAGAACCACAAGGTGCGTAAGGTTTTCTTGAATGAACTTCCTCTAACTTGGCTTTTATGGTTCAATAATTTCACATATTTTGAGTGCTTCATGGTTGAGAGCACACCTTAAGAATTTGTTGGTTACTATTCATTTAGGACGTATTTTCATTCCC